GGACCTTAAAGATCATCTAGATCCAACCTCCCACTAGACCAGGTTGCTCAGAGCCCCATTCAACCTGGCACTGAACTCCAGGGATGAGATATTTATGTATTCCCTAAATCAAATGTTAAATTACCAGAGCAGTTGCAGTTGTAATAGCCTTTACCTTGATGTGTTTTGGTGAAGCTAAGTTTGCTTCTGGATTTTTCTCCCCTTTTGGGACCAAAGAAGTGACATCCAATTTCTAGCAGGGAAGGAACAGTTCCATATAGAACACATTAAGGGACAGAATGAGAGGACAAAAACTCTGTAGACTGTACAGTCCAGAGCTACAAGAATAACAGTAGGCACAACACCTCTGCCTTCTTTCATGGCAGGGCTTTCAATTCTCACCACTTCACAGTTGTAGCAGCCTGTTTTTCCTGTTAGCAAGCAAGCACACCACTTGTTACTTTTCTGCTCATCTTCATAACTATGTGCTGGGCCTAATCTCTTGGCCCTATGACACCTTAAGTGTCTTTCTTAGTTCTAGGTTTCAGCTGTAGTAGTTCCAAACTGCAGTAATGTACAACAGTTTGACACTGGCAGAGAAGATGAGATTCCTGGCTTTGTGAAAGAAGAATCTGTCCAGTTTAACAAGAGTTCACACAGCCTGTATATCATGGGGAAGGCCTTGCTTGTCTTCTGTACCAGGAACATGACATCTAAATCACTATCAACTGAGAGATTTAAAGAGCTTTTAATACCAGCAAGTAGAGGAACACACAAAGTATCATTATCATACCAACAGTAACAAAATCCCCTGTCCTACTGCTACCAAGTTCAGCAGCAGAACTTCAATGATGGTGAGACTGTCTGCTAAAAGAGCATGAAAATATTAACTGCCTTTTATGTTTGTAAGCCAAGGAGCTTATCACAGCCTAGAAGCTGTTTTACTCTGCTAGGCCCGCCTTTAGGACTCATATTTAACAGCTTAATATGGTTCCTTCATTGTTATCTTTGGGATTTCAAGAATGTTAAATTTGCATGTATGCAACTAATATTACTGTAGTAAGAACAAATGCCTAAGAGAATTTTCTGCTCAGGTTTCCCTCCCAATTAAATCTCATATTGCAAAAAAGAGGTGCATGAAGAACAGGGCCTACACATTGAGAGCTGTGTCAGTTTATAATAATCAGAATCACAGTATTTCCTCTTACTGAAGTTCATACATCTCCTGAGAATAGGAAAAAAATAATCACCTCAACTTAGTGTTCCTCCTAGCCTTGTATTATTTCAGTTCTTGATTTGGAAATATATAGTATTGTACTTCAATGGTAGAACAGGTTCAGATGGAGGGTAGGAAAAGGCATAAAGAACCATCTCAAAAGCCCTAACTGGACACTGGGAGAAACATTAAAAACACGGGACAGAGAAGTGCAACTAGCTTAAAGAGAGACTCAAATGGAAACCAAGAACCATATAGGAAGACCTGCTGATATGGGGAGGAAGGAAAGTATTAGAGAGACTAACCTTACAGTTATCTCCAGATTTCTAAGTAGATGGCAAAAAAATACACCAAAAAGGAAGAGAACTGAGAGTTACAAAGGGAGAGTAAGAAGAGAGGTGAGATACAAGATGACAGGAAGAAACTGAGTACAGGAGGAACAAAGAACACTCTCAAGTGACAGCAAAGTGCTACAAATAAACTCACTTAGAATTAAGGATATTTCCAATATATAAAATAGTTTATTTCATTTAGATATAAAAGATATAAATACAATTCATGTAAAATCGTATCTGATAATAGAGCATTGCATCAGTTCATCTGTCTGCATAACTTGACTGAGACCTAGAGGCCCTTACCCTGCTAAGATCATTTGATGTGAACAAATAGCTTGAAAAGCCACAGTTGACAAGTGTAACTGAAAGGGTGAGTAAAGAGCTTTTCACTGTGGCCCTCTTAGCATATTTGGGAATTAGGATTCTACCTTCAGGTCACCCCAAACTAATGTCAGGCAGTTTCTTTCCCACAGTCTAGTCAGAAAAATAATCAAATGGGTAACAAACTGACTTAGTTTTCCTGGGTGGGTAGAGGGAATGCAGAGCCATCAGCCAAGAACTCAGAAGAGCACAACCGGAAAACACTGCCAGATCTTGCTCCCAGCCTGATAAGCAGGAAGTACATGAAGGCACAAAAGAAATCCATGATTCAAGTTCTCTTTGCAGCTGCTTTGCTGATGAAATAAGCTCAAGGCCAGCTAATGTAGAGTGGGCACCTGAGAGAAAAGAGAGCTGGAATTCTCAGCATCAATTCATACTTTACAGTTAAATACAGAGTTTATATATGATTATCATTGTTGTTTGTTTGTTTTTTCCTGGCAATATCAGAAAATGTGATTACAAACTTTGATTATTTTGAAAGAGCAAGTGATATCTACCACTGCAAAGAATCCAGAGACCAAAAGCATTAAATCTGGCTCTTTGGAGTTTAAAACAGTGAGTTTGCTGACAATGACAATATCCAAAGTTGAACACCTATTCTTTTCTCAATAGAGAGCTTTCCAGGATCACCACGAACATGCATAACAGCCATGAAGCAGGCAAGATGGTAACTGCTTTCTGCTTTAGTACAGATCAGATGTGTACACTATGAGGCTTACATAGTATCATGGAATGGTTTGAGTTGGAAAGAACCTTCAAGACCATCTAGTTCCAACCCTCCTGCCATGGGCAGGGACACCTCCCATTAGACCAGGTTGCTCAGAGCCCCATCCAACCTGGCACTGAACATTTCCAGGGAGTGGACATCCACAGCTCCTCCAGGTAACCTGTTCCAATGTCTCACCACCCTCACAGTGAAGAATTTCCTTCCAATGCCCAACCTAAATCTACCATCTTTCAGTTTAAAATCATTCTCCCTTGTCTTATCACTACAAGCCCTTGTAAAAAGTCCTGCTCAGCTTTGCTGTAGGTCCCTTCAGGTACTGGAAGGGTGCTATGAGGTCTCCCTGGAGCCTTTTCCAGGCTGAACAGCCCCAACTCTCTCACCTGTCTTCATAGGAGAGGTGCTGCAGACCTTGGATCATGTTTGTGGCCCTTCTCTGGACTCGTTTCAATAGGTCCATGTTCTTCTTTTGTTGGGGGCTCCAGAGCTGGACTCAGTAATCCAGGTGGGGGCTCACAAGAGTAGAGTAGAGGGGGAGAATCACCTCTCTTGACCTGCTGGCCACGCTTCTTTTGATGCAGCCCAGGACATGGTTGGCTTTCTGGGCCCACATTGCCAGCTTATGTTGAGCTTCTCATCAACCAACACCCCCAGGTCCTTTTCCTCAGAGCTGTTCTAAATCCATTCTCTGTATTTGTGTTTGGGATTGCCCTGACCCGGGTGCAGGACCTTGCATTTGGCTTTATTGAACTTCATGAATTGGCATAGGGCCACCTCTTAATCCCGTTCGGACGGCCTTCCTTCCCTGGAGCGTGTCTACCACACCACACAGCTTGGTGTCACTGATGAACTTGCTGAGGGTGCACTCAATTCCACTGTCCATGTCACTGACAAAGATGTTAAACAGCACCAATCCCAGTACTGACTCTTGAGGAACTCCTCTCCTCAGTGATCTCCACTTAGACATTGAGACACTCTGAGTGTGACTGTCCAGCCAATTCCTTATTCACCAGTTCCATGTCTCTCTAATTTAGACACCAGGGTGTCACACAGGACAGTGTCAAATGCTTTCCACAAGTCCAGGTAGATGACATCAGTTGTTCTTCCCTTGTCCACTGACACTGTGACCCCATCATAAAAGCTATACAATTTGTCAGGCAGGATTTGTCCTTGGTGAAACCATGCTGGTTGCCACCAGCTACCTCCTTGTTTTACATGTGCCTTACCAGAGCCTTCAGGAGGATCTGCTTCATGATCTTGCTGGACACAGAGATGAGACTGACTGTAGTTTCACAGGTCTTCCTTTTTTCCTTTCTGAAAATGGAGGTGATGTTTCCCCTGACTTACATGTGTGCAGTGCTTCGTTCTGATCAATGAAGGCCATATGAATAAAAATGCACTCTATGCTGTGACCTGCAGTCTCCATACTGTATATCCAGCATTAAAAATGGAACACTGGAAAGACACACTGTAAGGCTCTGTGATACATTTATTAACTTTTTTGAATTTCCTGATACTTTTGAAAACACTGTAATCTCCTTTTGAGGTAACTCATTCTTATGGTCAGGTTAAAATTATTTCTATAAAATCTACTTTAATAAATCATTAACTTCAGATAATCTCATGTTATAAAAATGAAATCAGTCACTAACATTCCAAAGAAAGTAGCATATTTTACAAACAATGGGCAAATTAAAGAAATATTTCTGATCAGCTTGCAGTCTAAATTCAATCAGTCAGAACACCAATTTTCAGGAATAGCACTGTATGTGGTTACAATACTACCTTCTGTCAAATTCAGTTAGATTCTATGATCTGTTCAGTATCAATTTTCACATAGTTGAGAATAAGAAGAACAGCAGTGGATATCATATCACCAACTAAAAAAGGAGTGTTTGAGATTTGTTCTTCATTTGGTAAAAAGACTCTCAAGAGATACAGATCAATTACACTAACGAAAAGGAACTGGACTATCAGCCTTAACAGAGTATGAGAAAAAGTGTTTTATTACAGCCAATGTAATTCCAGCTTTATATTTTTTGAACATTACCTAAGGTTGCACAGAGCCACAAACTGAATCCTTCTCTGTCTGATTGTTGTAACTGCAAAATGCTACACAGGGCAAAAGAGAACACATGCCAATATCTGTCCTCCTCTTTTCTAAATTGATCTCATCAGGAACTCAAGAGTGCCTGATCAGTTCAGTAGTGTCATCTGCAAGTTGGAATTTCCAAGGTATATAAACACTAACCTATTATTTTTCTAATCCTAGCTGCAGGGGGTTCCAATTAGTGGGCTACATTTCTTAGCCCAGCCTCATGCAGCATATGTTACAAGGATTCTGAAAGCAGAATCAACATCAATGACAAAAGCATCACCCATATTTCTTGTTCTTCCACAATGCATATAAAGACTGCTCAGTCTTGGGATAGTCTCCTAACATGGTCTGCTATCAACTACCATAATGCAGTGAGGCCTGGTATTTGTATTCTAATAAGCCCGCAGGAATCTGTTCTCCATTTCCCTTCCATCCCCAATGTGCTTTTCATTACTCCACCTGGAACTCTTGCAACATGATGCAGGGATGAGAACAAGTTCCATGTTTCAAGTCTGTTGTTTCTCATTCACAGGCCAATTTACTATCAAAGCTGGAAAGTCCAATAGCAAAGGCCTGAAGAGCACAGAGAGGATAATTATAGTCCAAAGTGAACACATCTTCTGCTACACGACCAAACTGCATCACAATGTAGTCAGCTGGGGAGAAAAAAAAGATTCAGAGAAAAACAATTTCACAGTAAAACAAAATAATTTAAAAAAGCAACCAAAAATAAAGCAACAAAAAATATCAAACAAAAAAACCCTCACAAACAAAACCCCACAGATGTCTGGCAGTTCCAAATATATGTGATTGGTGTATCCATCCTTCCTCATCAGAGTGGCCTTGAAATCTGTCCTCTAGAATGACTGTGTTTTACTAAAGATAACTTTTCTTCTCAGACCCAAGGCTCAAACCACTCCTGGGCTGGGCTGAGGGTGCCATATTAATCCTTTGCTTTTGGGGAGCTTGCTTTTGCTCCCTGTTTTGCTGCAGCTAGGGACAGTGGTCTCTGCACCCATCCCAGAAAAAGGGAGGCCTTATATAATTTTCTTAACAGCTGAGAAGTGCCCAGTAATCCTGAGCTGAATTCCTCTACCCAGTCTCCCTTTTCCAGGAAGGGTGTCCCATTTCTCCCAAACCTCACTAAAGAAATGGAATTCTCCCTTTTGGAATAAGCCCCACACACTCTCCACCAGACTCTTACGGTCATTGTCATGGACAATCTGGAAGTTCTTCACTGAGGCCTGAGTGACTCTTCCATGGAAGTTCAAAACATAGGACTGAGTATCATCGTTCCAGACTGGAGCCTTGTTGTGTAACTCAATGAGGTTGTCTAAATTTTTGTTTTGCCATTTGGAGAGCAGACTCTCATGCTCCTGTTCAGAAGAAACAAATAAATTGATCAGATTCAGAATGGCTCTGCTTTTGACTACTGCCTCTCTCATGTGTGTGTACTCTGCCACTTGAAGATCATTCCCTGTTTAGCGAAACACGACAGCACTGAAACTCAGTCCTACTGAAAATTTTCTGCAAGTACCAGGAAGATGTTTTCATGGATTTCCAGTCCAAGCATTCTTTTCCATTCAATAAGCTATCACCATATGTCCACTCAAGAACAGGGAAAAAAAAAAAAAAAAGAAAAAACAACCAGAAACAACTTGCTCATATGCCCACAAAAAAAAAGAAAAAAAAAAAAAAAAAAAAAAAAAAAAAAAAAAAAAAAAAAAGGAGAGACAGAGTAATAAATACATATACAGGAAAGGCAGCAATTCACAGGCTGCAGGTGACTGTCATCCTGCTGGCAGGAATTCTTTCTGAGTCTCATAAGTTTTAGCCAACTCTGTTGGATCCAACTTCCATTTTTAACATTCTAAACTTTGAAACAAAGGAAAATAATCTACAACTATGTGCATAGTGCCAGACTCTGGGGTGCTTCAGTAGAAAGTCCAAAGGTTGCAGTGGACTGTAAGTATGCCTTAAGTAGGTTAAATGTCATTGTATTGGGTAGAGAATTAAAAAAAAAAAAAAGAAAGATACAAAATGGAGGTAAACCAACACATGAAATTTGACAAATAGAACTAATTACAAGGAGCTGCAAATAATAGTCAGTGAAACAACATGGAATGTGGTTTAAATGTAAAAGTTCTGCAACAAAAATCCAAATTGAAATCATATATGCTAAAACTCCTGAGAAAAAACAATCCAAACTGAAGTTTTTTTATGGGAAAAAAATATTAGAAAACAACCTGTTGTGGAGGTCTGACTGATGCTGCTGTATTAACTATTGCAGTATTGTATACAGATTTGATAGCGGATTTTTGAGGATAACTTAAATACAATTTACTGTTCAATTTAAACTGGCTATTTCGTATACTTTTTATCTTTATGTACTTTTTAAAGATGCAAAAAAACCTTTGCGAATTGACACCATCAAAGAGCATTTAGATTCAATTTTTCCTCCTTTAAAGTGGGGGCAGTATTGCTTAACCGGAAACAGCACTACAGAGAATGACAAAAAACAGTCAAACTCCCTCGCTGAAAGCTTTGTCAGCTTTTCAGAACAGCTTTTTGTTTCAGCCTTGTCCACTCTCAGTACAGCAAAACAGCTAGGAAAATAGAGGAGAAACATACAGGCAAGGCCATGGAAACAATACAGGAGAGATAGCAATATCAATTGAAAGATGATGAATGACAACCTAGAGATACAATTTTCCTTCCCATTCACAAAATTAAACCTCTTTTTAGGCTCTCATGACTCTGAATTTCCACAGTTCAGGTCTTTTTCTCTGACCTCAACAAATACACCCTTGTCCTACTCATATCTACTCACAATATGGCTGCAAGTATAATTTTTTATATATATATATATATTTATATGGAACAATTTTCATCATATATCTTAATATATCTTCAGATACAGGTCAGTAAGCTTTTAGTTGTAACATTCACCGTATGTGTGAGAAATCCTTACTAAATAGTTATCACAAAACTCAATCCTTCTCCTCATTCCACTTTCTCCTTAAAGAATCCACTCAATTCCTACTGAGACTAACAATGTTCTTGTAAAAAATATTTTTACTCTCTTGCTACTACACCATGATCATAGAATTATGGAATCATAGAATGGCTTGAGTTGAAAAGGACCTTAAAGATCATCCAGTTACAACCCCCCTGCATGGGCAGGGACACCTCCCACTAGGCCATGTTGCTCAGAGCCCCATCCAACCTGGTCTTGAAGACCTCCAGGGATAGGGGAACCACAACCTCCCTAGGCAACCTGTTCCAGCATCTCACCACCCTCACAGGAAAGAACGTTTTCCTAATGTCCAACTTGAATCTCCCCTCTTTAAGCTTCAAACCATTGCCCCTTGTTCTATACCACCTTATCTATTATCTATCTGTTGTAATTCATATACTGGCTAAGAATCTAATCTCCCAGGAGAAGCAAGTTTGTTCAGTGTTTATCTCTCAAATAACAGGTTCTCCTCCAATGAGGAGGGGTTGTACATAAAACCGCAACAACATACACTAGCAATAAATAAGCAAATAACATTTAGGATGACCAAAGGACAAGTAAGGACACGAACACTATTCACAAGGCTACAAATTAGGAAAAAGGCAAGAACAAATTAACACCTTTAGGCTACATTGTATTTACTCTCCAAGAGACTTGCTAAAGCCTTGGGTATTAGCAACCTTGTTCTAAAAACTCTGATTATCAGTAACAACCAGACCTCTATGGGAAAGTTTCAGCCTCCTCCTCCAATCTGGAACATAACCAAACTCTTTAACTCACATTTCGTGGACGGATTGGAATTCGCTTATGATTCATATTCATTCCTGGAATGATCACAGACATTTTTCTGGGACCCTTGAATCCTAACACATTGGTTTCCTGAAAGACAAGGAAATACATTATTTTCCATAAGTGAGATACTCTATCTCAAAGAAGGAAAGATAGCAAAACTGACTTTGAATCCACATTTATATTGGTTTTTAGAGATTGGCTAGCTATGATTGTAGTAGAAGTTATTTATATGCTTAATGTTTAATCCCAAAGAATAGCTTTCTCTCCCATTTTGAGAACTGACTAAGAGTCATACTTAGGATTACCTAATTTAGAGTGCATCCGTTATCCTAATGAAACATTTATAACAAAATCAGACAAGTGCAATTTCCAGGCATAAGTTTTTGCATCTGAGGCAAAAATGTGCTAAAATCCTGCTAGTGGACAAGCCTTAAGTTTGATAAAAGGCAAATATATTTTTGACCTGAGTCTTACATTATACATATATCACCATTTAGGTGAAAATGTTCCTAAGAATGATGTTCTTCTTTAGGTACTAGCAAGTCAAGTTTTCCCCTGGAACCAAATCCTTATCAACAACAAGATGCTATTGAAATAATATCAGCTCCTTCCTATCCACAAAAATGCCTTTGGTTCTGCAAAAAATAACTCTGCTTCATAGGATATTCCCAGTTTCTTCTTGGTGTCCACCAGATATCAGCTGGGCAAGAGGCAGCTCATGCTGTGGCTAACTCCATGTAAAGGGTATGCCAACTGGCCTCATGCTGGATAGGCCAGGTAAGAAGGTCATCAGGATGTTAGTTTGGGTCTTTCTTCTTTCCTGGTATTGATTTTTTTTTTTTTTTTTCCTCATTGAACTTGTAAGAACTGATCTTTGAAGCCTTTGATGTATCTGGTTGAAATTGGTAGTTGGTTCCAAAGTTAAGTGGGGGTGGCTGCCAATAATTCTGTAAACTCAACCAGGTGACAAAAAACAAAGGGGTGAAAGAGGAGAGGCACTACTTACATAACAAATAGCTGCAAGCTCCTGTCTGGTATGAGCCTTTTCCACTAGACCTTGTGCCTTGACTGGGCTAACTCCATGGTCATAGACTGTAAATTTAGTTCCCATGAGGTTTGACCTAATCACAGAATTGTCACAGTTGGAAAAGACTTCAAAGATTACTGAGTCCAACTGTCCACCCAGGAGGAAAACAATAAAAATAACAGCAACAAACCAACAACACTCCCCTCCAAACAAACAAACAACAATACAACACCACCCACCATGCCACTAGAGCATGTCCTGAAAGGAGTATGAATGTCAGGTTATCAAAAGACAGAGAGAGGCATAAGTGGAAATTATTGGCATTTTCTGAATATACTTGTCCAGCACAGTGAAAACACACATCTCTTGTGATCTGAATCTACATATTGCCAGCTCAGTAAGGAGCTTCCACAGGAGGTGGAACTGAATCTGTAACCCATCTAGGAAAGGCTTAAATCCATAATTCCTTCTTTGAATTGCCACAGCGAATGGCAACACTTTAAAAAGGCTGCCAGCCCAGGTGAATGAAGATTACATTAAGTAGAACAATACAAGTTCATTCTTTCTGAGTTGATACCAGATTGCTGTTCTTAAACCCAGCTCAAATAAAATGCAAATCCAGTCTCTCCAATCTGTAGTTTTCATCTATGGTTCTCACCTGAGTTTCCCAATGAAACTTTCCCCTTCCCGGGATAGATCAGTTGGGTCAACTGATATGAGGTAATTGGATGTTTTGCTCTTCTTTCGTTTTCTCCCTGCAAGAAGGAATGTCTGGAAATAGAAAACTTTGATCAAGACTGGATCTTTGTAAGAATGCAGTGGCATTGCTAGGCATTGCTATCAAAACTGTTATCTCCCTATTTCCTGCACCCATTCCCCTTTTTGTTCTGTGCTGTTATTAATGTCTTCACAATTTTAATCTCTTCCACAAGTGCATATCCTGAAATTCTGTTCCTCCAATCACCTCACTTGGCAGTCTAGATTTAAAGCAACTGTCCTTTCTAGTCTTCCCTTCTTTTCTTCTGAAGCAGCTCAGTCTCCCTGCTCTTCTTTATCCTTTAAATTTTTATACTGTTTAAATTTCATATTTCATAGTGTTACGGCTTTTAAACCTGCTAATTCCCTCCCTAGTGCCTTAGCCAAATATAAGCTGTCCTCATCTGCATGCTAGCTCTCCTCAGCTTCTGGTTTCTTACCAGAAGCTCTCCCATACACCAAACATATTCTGTGATAGGAGTGAAAAGCCAATACACTGTGTGCTGCTTCCAATACCTTTCTGTTGTCATCCCTTTCCAGATGCATGTAATAAGTAGGGAAGAGGCCCCGGTCCATTCCCTTCTTATCTCTAGTGATTCGACACTTGACTGTAATACCACGGGGTGCAGGGCGTAATGCAAAATCCTCTAAGTTCTCTACTTCTCCCATCTGTGCATCTGCCTGAGGGGATGGACTACAGGAAGCACCTGTTTCCTGCGGGAAAAAGCATCATATTAGCAAATCAATATCAGATCAGAGGCTCTGGTACTCCCCAGTAAAAGAAAGGTCTGTTGAAACAGAAGAACTCATGTCTCAAGAACAGAGTTGGTAAAAAGGAAGTTAAACAAGAGACCACCTGTGTTTCTCTGAATAAAGTTCCTAAACATTTACTCCAAGGAAAGACTAGCTCTCCAAGGGGAGGGGAGAAAAAGTACCCATTAATCAGAGATGAATTAATTGCTAGGAAGGGGAAAACAGGATGAGACGCTGTAAATAACATTCTAAGCGAAGAGCACCTCTACTTTTAGAGCTTCAGACTCCCTGTGGGGAAATGAGGCAGCATGAAAAGCTTATGCACCCATCAGGAGGATGCAGTAAGACAGGCTGGGACTTGTGTGACTGAAAGGAGCACTAAGATTATATTACTTCAGAGCAGTAGGAGAAACAGAGTAAGCTGGTGGTGGAGCCATCTCAACTAAATGCTGGAAGAACCTCAGAACCAATATGTACAGTGAGGATGCAAATTACAGTCACCAAAGGAAATGGTATTCTATTAGAAATCTGGTCTAGGTCATTAAAGTAATTTTTCTTAGAAGCAGCTGACTTCCATGGATTGCAGAACCCAGGAAATTCCTTCCTTACTGGACCTCAGAGATGAGGTTGTTGGTTTATCCCCATTCCCAGGCACAGCCAGTAGAAAGTCTGAATATACACAGAGACCTGAAATTCACTAGTGGCTCTCACCTCTTCTGCCTCCAGCACTTCCCATCCTATATCTGACACCCATAGCCCAGTCTCCCAAATAGCTAACATCTAGACTTCTAGTACTACTCACCTACTGGTGCAGCACTACACACATATGGTCACCTCACAAATATACTGGGTCTTGGCCAGAAAAACATACTGTCTTGCAACTGTTTACATGCATCTGGTGCCTTTTACCTCCTTTACTGTCTATTTTCCTGTGCTTATTAGTCCCTGACCCACCTTGACCCTTTCTTTCCCCTCATGAGTCCTTTCCTCTAAACACTCTGTAACAAGTTTTGTCAAATCCCAGAAATCTTTGTTCCATCCCAAAATTCTGTTCCCCCTCACATCTCACAATAAATACTATAAACCTTCAGGTAGTGATCTATCTTGAGTTTGCATGGCATTTCAGAGTTTCTCTGAGTCATCCTGGTGGATTTTACACCTGAAACAATGGCCTAATCTGTCTCTTTTGAAGGTCATAAGAATAGCTGAATCATTGTGTTCCTGTCTTCAGTGATTAGACTAGTTGAGTTCCTCCACCCACCATGTTTCCTTTGATCATTACTAGGTCTTTGTCTTTAACTCAACGGTCTTTCAGTCAGATAACCTGACAATTACAACCTTCTTCTGCCTTCAGGAATTAATATACTAGATACCGTAGCTGCAACTACTATATTTTAACCTAGTGCTCATGGGGTTAGTACTAAAAATCTAGCATATGCCCAGCTCTTATCAGAAATGCATTTCAAGACACTCACTGCAAAAGATTTCTCACTGGTTGCAGAACTAGGCCTCTCAGATTCAGGATACTTTGAGTGATATGCTGATCTCTTACTAGTTTCTTCCTCTTCTGTGTCCTCCTCATCAAAATTCAAACTGCCGGAAATTCCTGTCAGAATAGAGGATAAAGCAGGTAACCTCTGAAAAAAGCTGTCATGAGTTCATGGCACCACTAATTCATACATGACTCTTGCATAGCTATTCTGCTCTTGTTCTTATTAATTTCTGTTGTTTCATCTGCTGATTTTCCTCATGTTCTATATTGCTTCCCAAGCCTTGTAATCCAAACCACTAGTGACATTTTGCAGCTGTCACTGTGCAAATGATTAAGCAGCTGTCAGGATTTTATTGATACCTATTTTATATGACACACGATACAACATATTGCTTAGTATGTGCTTCCACTAAATTCATTTTGCCTATTTTAATGCAAAAAAACCCTTCCATGCCTTAAGAATTAAAAAGGAAAAGAAATCCAGATCAAAAAGCTGACACCTATCCTGTAGGTCAGACTCTGTACAACTTTACATCCTTTACTATTTCCCCTTAAGAATTATACACACTGAATTGCACATGACAATTTTTCAGTAAGAGCTCCTCCTACTCTTACATCAGTAGCAATAACTCCAGTCTCATGAATACTAATAATTATTTGAGTTTTAAAAAGGAAGTGCAGACTGACTAGTGCCAGGACCTATTTAATCTTAACCTGAGCACAGTTACGTAGAGATGACTGTGGGCACATAACCAAAAGATCTCAGGATAAAGGCATTTATAAAAAGCTTCTCTAACTATCACTGGTGTTTCCTTCCACTTGCAACTTCATCATCTTGTTCTGTGAGACCACTCTTTAATTTGGATGGAAAAGCATATAAAGCACTATAGAAAAAGCACACTCAGCCTAAGCTGAACTATTTTCTGAGAGCCAATATTATAACAATGGTCTAACATGGCACTGCATAGAAAGGGCACTGCTGGAAGTTCTTTGACTCAGATGAAACAGAAAATGTAGTCCTAACAACTCATCAGTAAACTTCCCAAAGCACATTTGGAAAGAGGAAAGGCGTTAACCCTAGTACTCCAGCCAATTTCAAAATTCACTGTTTATATTCTACCTCCACTAATTTCCCCTTAAGTTTCTGGATATTCTCTCCTGCTTCCTTAACTAATTTTTGTGTAATGTTGCCATCCATAGGTAAACAGCTGTTGCATCTGACAACTGAATGTAAGTATTTCTACCTAAGGTAGTACCTTAGGTAGTGTTCTGGAAACACTCTGTGAGACAGGATCTGCAGAATAAAAACAAGCTGGGTACCATACTAAACACTAGCCATTATTTTGCTGCAACATGCTTAAGCTGCATGCAAAAAAAATGTTTTCCTGTGGTACTGGCAGCAATGTAAGATTCTTGGCAGAGAGAGAAAGTTTCCACTAGGAAATTACTCGATGGGATATAACTATTGACTATAAAATTCTAGAACTGTTGATTGTGACAGCCTCTGACTCTGGAATAAATGTTTCCTGTTAGACTCCTAAACAGTTTAATTACAGCATGTACTGGCTACAGAGGGTTCTGCTGTTGTGAAAATATTCAAGCATCATATCCAGATCTAATTCATCTGGAATAAGAATACCCCAAAATTTAGCAAAATAGGAAGTATAGCAGCATTCTGTCACCAACTTCCCTGGAGAGGCTAGAAACTACACATGAATCGATAAACCTCTGAAACATAACATAACATAACATAACCAAGTAATATCAGAAGAAGGAAATGCAGTTCTGCATTTCTAAATGCTGTGGAATCTGCTAGCTCTACTCTTGAAAATAATATCCTATACACACTTGTTTAATGATTCCTCATATTTTTCAGGTTTTTTTAAAGCTACTGGAAAAAATTAAATGTAAGTAGAAAAAACACAAAAAAGATCTTTGCCTATTGTCAACTCTTACCTCGTTTCTCTAAGATTTCCTGCAGATCTGGCTTGCCTTCTGCGTCTGTTAGAGCCTCTCCACCATTTTGTTGATCTGTATTGTTTTCTGTTTGGGAAGATCCAGCAGAGAGATTTTGGAGCTTGGTCCCCAAATCTTGCACTTCTGATTTCAGGAAAGCAGCTGGTCCATCAATGCCTGCAGGCCAAAATGAAACAGAATGCTAAAGTCTATTTATTATGGCTAAAGACACATCCCAGGATGGTTCTTCTTTTCCTCTTCCCTTGCTAAAGCATTGCTTTCAAGTACTGACATACACTTGTTCAACTTCTGCTAGAATGGGAGAAGTTAGGCCTGACTCTGGTACAAACCATCTGTTACTTTAAGTACATCAGGCATCTGTTTCTTCATTTATAAATATAGTGATTGTATCTACTCTTTTTTTCCAAGGGCTTAAGCAATTAAAATTAGTAGTATTGGTTATGCACATTGATATAATTCAACTTATTTATGGGCAACTAGTCTGTTTTCTTTTCCTTCAAGTTCCTTTGCTTCCGCGCCAATAAGTGAGTGTTCTACAGTGAACATCACAAATCAAATTGACAAAAATATCTACGGCCACAGGCAGAAAAAACTGTGAATGAGTACCCTTTATCTTTTTGGTAGAAATTAAATTTCCATGTTTAAACATGCAACACAGCTGTGCAGTGCACTTCACAACTCGTGGAGGCATCTCGATGTCAGGGTCTGACATAATATTTAATACGCATTTGTGTAGCACACAATATGTAAGGGTACCTCCAGCTTTGGATTTCTTGCTTTCCCACTGAGTTTCCTCTTAAAACTTTACTGTTTTATCTAGTCATCAGATTTCACACGTTTACTGCTGTTATCACTTCTTAACAGGATTTGTTTGTACTGAGGAAGTTTCAGAAATATGGAAGCCAGTGAAAGAGTAGTTAGTTTTAATTTTTCTTTCCTGTAGTTTCAGTACTACTGAAGTTTCCTAAGAAGTTCTGTCAGTCTTTTCTCCCACTCTCTTCATGACTTAAAAGCATCTTTTAACAGCAGCTTTCTCTCAGCTGATTATAAATACATAAATGCTACCATCCACATCACCGTTTTCCTCCCCATTCTACAATCCTGAAAAACATCCGGAGAACAAGAAAAAACATTCAAAAGACAGGGGCTAAGACAGTTCCAAATGTGATCTTCAAACCTGGTAATGCTAGTTTGTTTGAGGTTTTTAAATTCTACTCTACACATTAATTCTGTAATAATATAATGGCAGTACTAAAAAATCCTGAATTAGCATGCATCTCAAAGTATTAGGATGATCCCTGTTACTTTCTTGATAGGCTGATGGGATCCTGGCTCTCATAAACTACTTCCTGACACTTACACTGGAATGTAGAAGTTACATTGCTGCTTTTTTTTCCTCCCTGTGACATGGAAGTCTTAAAGCTCTCACTACTGTATTTCTTTTCACTCCTGACAGACTGGTAACTATTTTACTGTAATGTTTTGAGACCACTGAGTTACTGCCCTTGTGACTATGTTTGTCATGTTTGTTTCATTTGTCATGTTTCAGCTGTCTCCCTGAAGCCCACAGAAAACAACAGATGGGGAAAGAAACAGCAAGAATAATTCAGTATCCCCTAGACTTTTGTTTTGCTCATCTACTTTAGCATTCAGTCATATGCAATCTTGAGATGGAATATACCATGAAGAAAAGTACCGATAGTCACTACTGGATTATTTCCTTTTCTTTTTCCTACAGCTTCAGAAAATTACCTTACTTTGAATTTGTACCTCCCTACCTTTACAGAAGTCCCTAAAGTTCCTATAGAAGGTTCTGCAGTTCTTCTCAGCCTAACACAAGGGAGAGATTACTCAAAGGCACATCAAGATACTCAGTTGTCACAAAATTCAAGGTAAGGTTTTAATTTGGTTTTACAGTTCAGTATTGCTCAACCATACTGTACTACAATTCTGCTTTTGTACATGGAATGTTATGTAATCAGTCTTGTTTATGATCTGACCACTGTCACAGCAGTGTAGGTGCCCATCCCTGATAAAAAATGCACACTGGCATTTTGGGGAACATGGTTGCAATCAGACTGATTACTTACCATGTAACATAACATCACTGTTGAAAGGGGCAGGAGTTTCTACTAAAGGAGTCTGCTCCTCACACCCTTTGGGCTTTGACCTACGCAGCTTTGCCTCAGGATTTGGCTGTACCATCAAAGGATCAAGACGTTTCTTCCTCTGCTTCTTCTCTAGAAGAGCTCTCTGTGAAATACAGAAAAAGCATTAAATAAAGATGAGTAACCACATCCAGAGAGGTAGAAACTATGCCTCAGCCATTGGCAATAATGTGTCACTGATCAGGCTCTCCAACAAACCTGAAATACTCTTGTAATCTCTTACAAAAACTCTAGACACAGATATAACTGTTTTTTGGAGTGAGACATTGCCTTTGATACTCCATGAGCCCTCAAGAGGTGATGAGGACCCCCACTTATTTTCTGATCTATGCTGGGACCATCAGCAGATAATTTTAACTCACTTTACTCAGTCTAAACTACAGCAATCTTTAATATAAACAGACAAATTCAGCAGTCATTAACTATCCAATATTAAACATCACACAATGTAAATGTTGTCATACACAGCATGTTCTGGCAATTTTATTATTCCATGTATCCTACTTATTTAGGATGATAAGAGTAGACAAAACAGGTCACAGACTCTTTCCGCTGCAGTTATGCTTGGACTAAACATTCCATCATTTAGGACAACAACTTCCTGTACATACAGGGAATTAAAATTTTTCCTCCCTGTTTTGTACAATTAAGATAACTGTATTACAAGAACTATCTTAGAATCATAGAATGGTTTGGGTTGGAAGGGACCTTAAAAATAATCTCCAAAACTATTTGAAAATGCCAGAATAAAGATGAGAGCCCTTGCTCTATGCATTATATGGCAATTAAGTCTTTTACCTTATTAGCATAACATTTCTAAAAAGCCCTAATTGGGGATTACTTTGCCAATGCAGTTATACATGCTGTCACAAAGCATGAAAAGGAAGTCAGGACTTCCAAATTAAAAGGTTTATGTATCAAAAGCTATCATATGATAAAAATTCAAGGGGAAAAGAAAAATTAAAATGACAGTCATTAAAATAGGACTGATCCGGTAAAAGCAAAATTTATCTTGAATTTTTTTCCCCATGTAATTCAGGATTGAAAGGAAAGAATGGTAAATCCAAACGCTAAAAAAACCCAATAATTTTTCCAAGATACATATATATACTATGTTTATTATTTCCTATTAAAGGAGAATACAAACAACTTCTAGACTTAAATCAAGGGAAGTGGGGACACCGCACCATTTTAAACACAGCCACACTTAATCCTTAAAGTGATGCATGAAGAAGAAGGAAAAACCACATTCTAATATTATGTAATGCACCACTACACAAACAACGTGCAAGCCCCTTGTCACAGGTGCAGTTTATCCATGCCTGCTTCTTAGGTACCTCAACACCCCCTGAAACTTGTTCTTGATGATAGAAACCTTTTTTCCATTAAATTCTTTTCAGTCTCCAAGGATCTGTCAGATAAACAGTACTAACAATTCAACCCCTTCACTTGAGACACAGGCACCTTTGGAACCCTTTCCTCCCCTCTTATGCTTTTTATCTCTCTTCTTGGTTCTTTCCTCTCCTATTTGGCTTTTTATCTCAAGTGAGGTTAGTTTCTCAGGCAATGAGGCATTCCAACACAGCTCATCCCTTGGTTCTTTATTCTTTGTGTTCTTCAAGCACTTATTTAAAAAAAAACAAACACAAGCACTTATTTAAAAAAACCCACAACAACCCACCAACACAAAAAAACCCAACAAATCAACCCAACAAGCTAACAAAAAAGCTACAAAAAACAAAACAAAACAACCTTTTTTATTTAAACTCATAATTACACTTTGAAGACTGGATTGCAATACCAACAGTGTTTGTTACTGCATAAATTTTGTAAAGATTGTCATAGAGGGCAAGAATTACATAGTATTCCAAAGAGATTATCACATTGATCTAGAAGAAGAAAATAATACGAAGAAGCAGAGGTCAAATTCTTAGAAAATGCTAGTTACAGATAAAATTTGTTTTCTTGGAAGATAATCAGATCATTCAGAAGAATTTCCATAGGTTTGTGTTGTTTGTTTGTTTTTTAAGTTAATGCTGAGGGAAAAAGAAAGATTTCATGACAGTTTATTCATCTCTGTTACTTTAAATAAAAGGAGAGGGAAAATAAGAATCAAAACATTATACTCTGAATAAAGATTAGCAAAAAAACGTTGCCAAAGCTTCTCTACCTTTCAAATAGATGAACAAGAAAAAAATAAAACAGACACATCCCAAAGGCACTCAAAAGTATACAGATACTGCTGGAATGGGAAATTGAATTTGGGATGAATATAGGATACAATAACTTTCAGAACTACTTAACTAATAAAGCTAATCTAATTGAATAATCAAACATTTTACTGGGCATCAGACTAAAATTTTTGTTGTTGTTATTATAGCACATTTTGTTCCATCAAAGAGTTTCTAGGACTCACCGATCAAATGAGATTATATTGATTTATACTGAGAAATATATTTTACTCCTGGTAGATAAGACTAGCCTTTTTCTTGCAAGAATTTCAGGATAATCAAAGTGTCGAAACTTGATAATGATTTAGTTTGTTTTAAAAAGGCTTCTCTCTACTACTTTGCTTACTGAGATTAAAAGAATCTACAGGCCCACTGACAGAGCAGACAGTAGCAATTCATCTTCTCTCCATAAGGTGGCAGAACAGCCTTACCTTCAGTACTATGTATTCTCAGACTTGCTCCACTAAGATGAAGTCGTAAAAAGGAAACTATTTTATTTCATTTTGTCTACCACATAGCCTTTTCTTCCAGCTCTGTGTTACATTAAAAGTTCATATAATAAAACGACAACAACAAAAATACATAGTTCAGGAACAGGACACCAGAACACACAACTAATTAATTAAATAATGGATACATATTATCATTATTTGTTTGTGAACTCCACGTATTAAATATTTTCAGGGAAAAAAAAATTTGCACCACAGCAAAGCATAACGTCAGAATACAGGATGATTAAAAGACCACAAACCACCAACTTCAGTTCTAATGAATTTCAAACAAGCTAAGAAGTCAGATACATCAAATATATCATAGCAGACTAACAAGATGAGTTGTAGTCTTTCTACAACTGTAATGAACAGGAAGATGGTATAGGGGAAAGTTTAAGCCACTCCATCCTTGAAGGTGCAATACCATACTAGTAATATTTGGAATGGTCCTACCTTAGTAGGCCATATGGGATGGATCCTAGCTCAGAAACATCCTCTCCACTCTCCCAGCTCCTCCTCAGTTCATGCTGAGGCAACAGTGATAACCCTAGTGGTGATGGTCTTAATAAAACTTCATGTCAAGAAGAAGAGCATGCAGTAATACGTGCTCAGCTTCATGCTCTCCACCCACAGGGAGACTGTGCTTTGAGCAGCAGGTGTCTCAAAAGGCTTAGGATCACCTTCTACTGCTGGGGAAGTAAGAACTGTCTGAGTAGCCACACATTCTCTCCTCAAGGAAGAGGCAGTAGTCTAGATAAAAGCACACTGGCAGGCAGTACTGGCCCACATATGGAACTTGATGTCATGCATTATTAAAAATACTGCCTTTTTGCAATTATAGGGTTTCCAAACTCATCTTAAAGATGGCTGATAGACCTATGTCTTTGCTGTGGCAAACACTTATTCCAGATTCTCTGTACAGCCAAAGGTTCTAAACATGATCCTGCTGGATTAAAACATTTTGCATTTTTTTAAAACAAATTCCTATAAATGTTTGGGACAAATTAATCAATCTGGGCATTAGCTACAACCAAAATCAGCTACAACCAACAAGTCCATAATGTCTGATAGTGATTTCCTATTTACTTTGATTTCTTCAGAAAGCATGGTACTATTAATGTAAAAGTAAAAAGTAGACTTTAAAAGATAATATTCAAGCTTAAGTATACAATCCTAAATTAGAGGCTGTTGGCGTCTCTCAACAAATCTCATTTGCAAGGAGGGGAGGTGGTGTTAAAATGTATTTTAGTGAAATTTGCTAGCTGTTCATTTTGCAGGTGATTGAAAACTCAACCAAATCCAAGAAATCCTGAAACAAAATTACAATGGATTCTTTAAACTCACCTCTTCATGCTTCAACTGACAGCTGCTCTGAGGGAATTCCACCCAACCCAGCAGCTTTGATTTAGTGCAACAGCAGTGCATCCCCATGGCAAGGTCTGAAACTAGGGACCACAGTGACCACAGGACTAGGAGCCAGAGATTACTACCAGCTTATAACCCAAGGCAACAGACCCCAAAACACTGAGGTTCATCACCAACCAGTTAGACCATCCTTAGTTTTGGAACTTCTTACTGAGTGGCATCTTTAGCACCATCATTTACCTGATTCTCCAGTTTCAGCTGTCGTAGTTTCATGCTTTCATCCTCAAAGATGCTGGAAAAGGGAAAGAAACAAATTAAATATTGCTACTAAATTTCTTGCACTGTAAGAGCACAGAATATTCCAATTAAAGAGAAGTATAAAGATGTCTTCTGTAGATACAACCTACTGTTTGTCATTCTGTTGCTTTGCCTAATAGAAAATGCATCCTCAATAATTTGAGCCTCCTCTTCAGAAAATAAAAAGAAATTTAAACCCTACTTCTTTGGAAATAAGTTTCTAGGTTTTTTGTTTTCCCTGGAAGATGCCAAAAAGCTGAAATATCAGGACTCACCTAGATGCCTCGTGTAAATCCTCAATGAAAATTATTTCCTTTTTATTTGAAAATTATTTTCTATCCATACTGGAATGAAGCTATGTAACATCAAAGACAGGTCTGAAGACTGTTGGAGCAGGACTGTAACACAAATTGCACAATGCCTCACCTCCAAACACTTAACTGAGACTCAAACATGGTTGAAATACATCAAGATTCTAACAGGTCACAGAGCTTGATAAGCCAAAAGATAGTAAGAGTGGTCACTTTTACAATTTACTTTTAAGCACAGACCAAAATCACCTCATAGCAGGCCACAAAATGAAAGCAGCCATCAATGCTTCCAATTATAAAGTGCAAGGATTCATAAAAGGAGCAAAATAAAAAGAAATAATTAAAGCTAAGAGCACTGTGGCACTCTAAACAGTAAATAATAAGGAAAAAAATATTGCACTAATTTTATTTACTCGTCTTGCAATCTTCCTTCCAGCACTTCGTCATCACTGAAGTATAACATAACAACCAGACAAAACAAGAGTTTCCCACACATGCACAGACTCCAAACTTTTTTCTACCCACCACAGAGGGGTTGGTGTTGCTACAGACCTTACAGGAAAAGGCTGTGCCAGTCACTCCCACAGCTCAGAACTAAGGAATGCAAGCAGTGTGCTAATACAGCTGCAGGCTCCAAATATGAATCCTCCCTCTTTCAAGTTGTTTCAAGGGACCAATTAAGCTCCCTTTATATACTGACTGTTGAAGCTGTAAAGAGGCAAATAAAAGGTTGAATTTATTATGGGCTACTTTTGCAAGGAATTGACTAGTTGTAGCTGTGAGTGAGAGCCAAGAAGCAGAGAAAGCAAGAAAAGCCACAGGAAGAGCAGCCTGGAGAGAAAAAAATGTTCTACATGATCAAGAATTCACTGGACAGACAGATCTGAAATATGTTAAACAAAGGAAAAAACTCATTATAGATTTTCCTGCATTCAAAAAATAGTTATATTCCTCATAAGTCCACTAAAGAAATATTCTATTCAGTTTTTCCTCCTAAACAAGCAAGACAAAACTTAAAAGTTTCCTTGCCAACTTAAAAGCTTCCTGAATAGCTAAATCTATTCTGCAATTCAAGTAATTATAGGGTTGATAAATAACAAGTACAGTTCTCTGGCCTCTTTTAAGCAGAAGGTCAGACTAGCTGACAGAAACAGACCCCACCCCAACCTTCAGAAAAAAATCTGAATCAAGAGAAGGATAGTTTGTCTTGCCTTTTCACTGCTCTAAGCTTTTTAGAGCATATTCTAGCACTGTATATACACTGAATTATTGGTGAGAGAAATTCAGGAAGTTATCACTTGTTCGTGCACAGCTCTAGGGAAGATACTAAAAATTTGGATGCTCTGCAGTTTGGCAGAGAGATTCAGACAAAAGTGTCCACCAGAAACTTTTACCTCCTTTTCAAGTGGATTAGATTTTGAGTTTACTGCACCTTGTTACAAATAACTTGATACTTTCTATCACCTGACACATAAACACTTACTTCAACAAACACATTCTTTCAATATTGATGGGACTGCCTCAGAAACAAGGAATTGTTAGAGTTGGAAGGGACCTCTAGAGATCATCCAGTCTAACCTCCCTGCTAAAGCAGGATCCCCCAGAGCACATTACACAGGATTGCAGCCAGGTTGGTCTTGAATATCTCCAGAGAAGGGGACTCCACAACCTCCCTGGGCAGCCTGTTCCACTGCTCTGTCAACCTCACCATAATGAGTTTTTTTCTCATATTTAAATGAAACATATGTTCCAGTTTGTGCCCACTGTCCCACATCCTCTCACTGGAACAACTGAAAAGAGTCTGGCTCCATTCTCCTTGCACACACCCTTTAGATACTTGTAGGCAGTTATAAGGTCTCCTCTGAGGCTTGTCTTCTTGAGACTGAACAGTCCTAGCTCTCTCAGCCTTCCCTCATAAGGGAGATGTTCCAATCCCCCAGTCATCTTTGTCACCCTCTGCTGTACTCTCCCTAGTAGTTTCCTGTCTCTCTTGAACTGTGGAGCCCAGAGCTGGATGCAGTATTCCAGAGGTGGCCTCACCAGGGCAGAGTAGAGGGGGAGAATGACCTCCCTTGACCTACTGGCCACACTCTTCCTTATGCACCCCAGGATTTTATTGGCCTTCCTGGCAGCAAGGGCACATTGCTGGCTCATGGATAATTTACTATCTACCAGGACTCCCAGATCCTTCTCTTCAGAACTGCTTTCCAGCAAGTCCACCCCTAACCTATATTGGTGCACGGGGTTCTTCCTCCCCAGGTGCAGGACCCTGCGCCTGCCCTTGTTGAACCTCAGTAGGCTCTTCTCTGCCCGGCACTCCAGCCTGCCCAGGTCACACTGGATGGCAGCACAGCCCTCTGGAGTGTCAGCCACCCCTCCCAGGTTAGTATCACCAGCAAACTTGCTGAGGATACACTCTGTCTCCATATCCAGGTCACTGATGAATATGTTGAACAAGACCAGACTGAGTACTGACCCCTGGGGAACTCCACTGGTTACAGGCCTCCAACTTGACCCTGCTCCATTGATCACAACCCTCTGAGCTCTGTCTGAGCTCTCAATCCACCTCACTGTCCACTCATCTAGCCCACACTCCCTCAGTTTCCTAATGAGGATGTTATGGGAGGCTGTGTCAAAAGCCTTGCTGAAGTGAAGGTAGATGACATCTGCTGCTGTCCCTTCATCCAGCTAACCAGTTAGGATGTCATAAAAGGCTAGCAGATTGGTTGAGCATGATTTACCCTTGGTAAATCCATGTTGACCACTCCCAATAACATCTTGTTCTTCAACATGTTTAGAGATGACATCCAGAATGAGTGGCTCCTTCACCTTCCCAGGGACAGAGGTGAGACTAACCAACCAGTAGTTCCTGGGTCCTCCATCTTGCCCTTTTTGAAGAATGGAGTGATATTGACCTTCCTCTAGTCCTCAGGTACCTCTCCTGTTCTCCATGACCTTTCAAAGATGATGGAGAGTGGCCCAGCAACAACATCTGATAGTTCTCTCAACACTCACGGGTGCATCCCATCAGGAACCACAGACTTATGGATGTCCAGTTTGACCAAGTCATTTCTAATCTGGTCCTAGGGAAAGTCTTCCTCTCTTCAGACCTTCCCCCTTGCCTCCACTGTCTAGAATTCATGAGGGACAGCTTTAGAAGTGAAGAATGAAGCAAAGAAGGCATTCAGGAACTCAGTCTTCTCTGTATCTTCCACCACTAGGGTGCCCATCTCATTCACCAGTGGGCCTACATTTTCCCTCATCTTCCTTTTTCTAATGAGATACTAAAAATCTACTTCTTGTTGTCTTCAACAGCAGTGGCCAAGTTGAGTTCTTCTTGAGCCTTGGCCCTTCTAATTTTCCACCTGCACAGCTTCACTACACCTTGGAATTCCTCGTAAGTTGCCAACCTCTTTTCCAAAGGCCATAAACTTCCCTTTTGTTCCTGAGGTCCAGCCAAAACTCCCTGTTTAGCTAGGCTGGTCTTCTTCCCCGTCAGCTCATCTTTCAGGACCTAGGGATGGCCTGCCCCTGTGTCTTTAAGAGTTCCTCCTTGAAGTACTCTTGAAGTCTTCATTGCCTTTGGACTTCTTGTTACTACTGCATCACTACTTGAAAGATTAACAACAGGTAGTAACCTGATGGCTTTACTAAGGAAGGGATCTTTCTACAAACATCTTTAACCCATGCCTCAGGGAGGCAGCAGCCTCTAGGTCACCATGTTCACCCAGGCAAGGAGAGGGCAGGGACTTTCCTGTGTTGAGAGCCCTGTCAGCCTGTTGGTCTAGTTTCAGGGATGGTAGGCTGTGGGTCCAGTGGTCTTTCATTCTCCCACTGCCTGATGCTTCTTAACCTACTCACCTCCCCCCGGGAGCTCCATCACTGAGCGGAGGAGCTCCTCCCCCTGGACACACCTCCCATGGGCGAGCTCACCGCTACCATACATGCGTGTGAGTCGGTTACACCCTGCAGCCATACACCTGGGTGGCAGCGCTTTCCCAGGAGAGCTCAGTCTGGGAAGATGCATCAGCCGCAGAGTGTGACAGAGCCGAGGGAGGCCAGGGTTTTGCGGCGGGCTGATGTCCTCACTCCCCGGCCCAGCCCCGGCGCCCACCAGCTGCAGCAGCCGCTGCTTGCGGGCTCCCTAGGGCCGCTCCGGACAGACGGGGCAGCGCCTGTTGCCCCCGTTGCCGCTCCTCTGGCGTTCCCGCAGCACCGGACACCTCGGGAAAAATCCCGTCACGTTCAGCTTCTCACTCTGCAGAGGGCTGCTTCCACGCAGAGCATAACAAAGCTCCCGTAGCTCCCGTTTCCTTTGCAGGACAGTTTATTAATGTGGTAGCAGTTGTCATGTCTCTCAGCAATACTCCCAAACCCTAAGAATGTGGCCACACCCAATCCTAAGTGACACAGATCAGGTTCTATCCACGTTTCAGTTACATTTTCAAGTGGTTGATATTTCAACAAGTTTCAGCCTCTGTTACAAAAACAGTAATTACTCCAGTGAATCAGTTTTACCTTTTAATTCCACACCCCACACGCTCACCTCAGCAATCATGCAGAGATTTCTACTCCCCATAGCATGCTGTTTTCAGAAAGGTTTCACAAAACCTGGCAAGTTTTTCACCTACTGAATAAAATGAACTACTAAGAGCAACAAACTAAACTGCCAGAGCAAAGT